CCTGTATGCTGTTAGAAGTGATTGTTACCATTCACACCAGATGGTTGTAATACTACTTTCACAAACAACAAACAATAATAACAATAAAAAAACACTGGACATAGCTCTATCCATTTATTTGATTGAGAATAAAGCAATAGAATCAGAAAACGTGCCGTGACACAAATCTCGTCTATTTAATGTTGAACTTGATTTAAATAGTTTTAGATATTAAGTTTTAGATTAAAAGTAAATCTGCAACATCCTTGCTCTATAGTGTTAATTGTGGTCAACAGTGTTTCTGTCCACTGATTCCTCATTTCTTTGTGCATGATGGATTTCTACTATGTTCTGATATCTGAACTTTGTCCTTTACTCTGGCTTCCCTCTGCAAAGTATTGCTACATCTGCCTTATTGACCTTGTTTTTGCTTTCTGGTTCTGTTTGAGGAGATGCAAGTGTCTGGTTTGTCTCTAACCCTGCTACTGTAGAGGAGAGTTTGTTGGATACTCTGCCGGCGATGCACTTTTCAGGTGCCCAGGTAGTTTCCCTGCACTCCTGGCCTGCCATTCTCTCTTACGACACACTTTTAATTTTTATTGTGTGGTATTTGAGATTGTGGAAGTGGTTATTTTACTACTGTCTCCTTTCTATATGGAAAAAGTCTGCTTTTTCTCATCTGGTTTTACACTAGAGTAGGAGGTCGGTATCCCAAACTATTGAAAGAGCTATATAGGAACAAAAAAACAAACAAAAGATAAATCTACCTGTAGCTGCAAAAATGTAAAAGCCTTATATAAGCGACGTATGCAAACATGGGCTCTAGTGTATTAGCCAGCTATAAAAAAAGGACTATGTGGGCTTAAATATATAAAAAGCATTCATGATTAAATGTTTATCTTGGAGCAAATGTCACATCATGACTAATCTGCTGTGCGGTAGTTGGTGCTTTAAGTTTAAATTCAATTACAATATTAATGTATTAGGTTTTGTTGCATTGATGAAATTATAGAAACACAAAAAATAAATCAGATCATTGGGGCTGTTTTTATTTCAAGGATTTGGGGGGAAAAAACTGGAAGAAAGTTCACATACCTGCTTAAGAGCACAAGCTGTTTGATCTGTGAACGGTTTTCCATGCTTGCAATAAAACTAAAAGCTGTAGTGGAGTTTGGAGATGCAGTCCACTTATTTTAAATCTGTCTTTGCGCTACTGTAATTTATCCAGAAGTTCTGCATGAGGCTCTGGAGCCACAGGTTGCCAACCCCTGTACTAGACCATGTCCAGTCCTGAACTCTTTTTCCACCAAGGTGCAGCCTGTTCATTCTGGAGTAATCCTGAATCGCTCCAGCTGCAGCGGCATTTTAGCTCCTCCAAGAGTACAAAGCAGCAGGGAACATGACGATTTTAAGCCAGATATGTGGCCAGGTTAGAGAGCATGGACAAGTTCAATCTATGTTTACTGCTTACAATTATCACAAAACAGCTGAACAGCTCTGGTCCCAGTTTGAAAATAATCCTAACGAAGAACTGTCAGTAGAGGGATCTATTTGCAGCAGGGATTATTTTTCTCTGTCTATCAATTGAAACATTGCCATAAATGGAGCGCTTTTATGTTTTATTTTCTTTTACTTTTGTTTGAAACACTTTAAATTAGACTACGATACTATGTATCTCCTTTTTGCACCTAGGATTCATCAATCTTTCATGAAGGAGTTTAATCCAGTTCTGCAGCAATTTATGCACGGAGTGAGAGGAATTTTTAGCATGAATGTTACTTTCCAAGGTTCTTCTGCCTCCCATCATGTGTACTAGGTCAAGGTGGGACCTTAATGGAGGTTATTTTCTGCACATCTGTAGAAGCTGAAGTTCTAAAAAGGAAACAGGTTTAACATTGTAGTCTGGTTGCCAGTCAGCAATGTCTGGAGGTTATTTTACTGGACAGTGGATGAGTTAGTTTTAAGTACAGGCAATATTTGGAGTCACAGGCAATATTAACTTGCAGGGAAGCCTATGAGCTACAAGGAAAATGGATGCTACTGTCATGAGCTGCAGAGTCCTCAAGCCCTCGATCTTCCTAATGAGTTTTATTAAGATGACACTTTTTAATTAGAAATCCTTTATGCTCCCAAACAAAGAGGTAAAGAAGATGATAGTCTGAAAGGTTTCCCCTGCTTTACTCGCAGGCTAAACATTGTTTCCTTATGCATTTTAAATAAGTGTTTTTTTTTAATTATAACAATTGCACAAGAGAGAGTAGAGTATCATTGATAACATCTTTTAGAGTACAACAGCAACACCTTTTAGTTATAATATACGTTAACATATAGGGAATTAAACAGATTTTTTTCCCCCCATCACACAAACCTTGTAAGCGACTGCCTGTCTCTACCTCTCTACACCCACCTCTTTGAATGACGCAACAGTCGGAAGAGACAAAAGATCACTCATTTACCTAGTGACCAACTGAGTGTATCATAACTGAATGGACCTCATAAACCTAGCCAAGCCATGGGTAGATGAGGCACAGTCATCTAGCATTTTGTTAGCACTTCATCAGAGCAGATTCTAAACATAAAACCAGCCAATCCTCTCTAAAATAGTGTGATTGAGCTAAATTTGGTTCTATAACATTGAATACAGTAAGCATGTTTTTTAATACATGAAAATATAAACAATATAGCTATGTTGTTTTGACAGGAAAATGTTGCCATTAAAATCATCAACTATGCTTTATTTTATAATTATCAATTTGTATAAAATGTTTAATCCGGTTTGTTGCAACCACTGCCAGCACCCAACCCAAGGTTCCTCTGCCATAGTATACATTAATGATTGTATAACACAGTATTGGCAATACATGCTTAATGCAAATATTGGCTCTCCCCACCATACCAGCAAAAATTGCATCATTCAAAAGATAACTATAAACTGAGTATATCTATTACACTGACTAAAATGAAATACAGATTATGTTTTTTTACCATCTAGGGTTGTCAGTCACTAAAACCTTTAAACAAAGTGAACAACAAGAAGCATGTGAAACATGAGGCGATAATTAGTTTTAATGCATTGGCTTTAAATTGATCAGTTTTGTAGTTCCCTTTTTAACTTTATGTATATTTAACATTCTTTAAATGTGACGAAAGCTTCATTGCTAATTTTAAGAAACTTCTATTTACTTTAATAGCATTTTGTTATTCAAAACAGTGTTTTAATGAGTGTGGGGCTCCTTAAAGACTCTGCTGTTGATATTAATAACACATCATTCAATACTTATGTTTTCAAATCTTAAAAAAAACAACAAAAAAAAACACTATGGCACCAACAGTACCACTAAACACTAAGAGTATGAATGCAAAGAGTTTCCATTTACACCCAACAGTGATCCGTGATGAGGTTTTCAATGTGATCTCAGTGTACAGCACTAATTAAATCAACTGAAATGTTGTAATTTCCATGCCAGCACAGAACGCCATGCTTTTTGAAACTCTTCAATATGTGCACGCATACAAACACTTGCTGCTTAAAAAGGCATCCTAGCTAAACAAACTTTCAGAATGACAGGGACTCATGGTCTATAAAGTTATAATCCAAATTAGCGTGTATTTGAACATACAAGTATGTTTACATCTTTTCTCCAGGTTACTTCTAATTGTAAAATAAGCACTGTGGTGTTTAACTGCGCAGGATCAGTGAAGCTGTGTGCGCGCCCATTAACTCCTACTGAGTCAAACTGTGCATGTACCAGACCTTCCCAGTCAGGCATATTCTCCTTAATTCTGCAGATGACAACAAGAAACTGAAAATGTTTCCATTCCTCCACTCTGGCACTTATTTGTAAATTATCACGTTGTCATAGATATGACACTCAACTGTAGTTTGCACAAAGAGAGTACCACAACATTCTCCATACAAACCAAAACAAAATATGAATATTAACTCAATTATGATATTTCTTTAAGAAACACAGTAAATGAAGGAGATTTTAAGGAACATAAAGTCCTGTGATATCTGAAGTATGTGTGCAGCTTTAAATTCACTACTCTGACAAGTTTGTCTATAGAGGAGAGATAAATTCCCAGTGTCCTGCTACATCATTACCATGAAATGTTACTTTTCCGTAGTGTCACCATCTAATTTTGTTGTTTTATGTTTTTATAATGAGATTCAATTTACTCTTTTTAATGTTTAAATTCCAATAATCTGTTCCCCCCCAATAATCTGATAATTACCAGCTTAAATAATCAGACTGTGAAAGATTGCTTGAGTTTTATTTTTCAGTTTTTACCATGCACAAGTTAGTGAATTATCTGCATAGTGTTGTGTGAAATATAACAATGTTAGTGGGGTGTTGCTCTTATTTTTGAGTCACCAATACTTTCTGTAGCAGTTGTGCAAACAAAAGGTTCACGAGGTAGGTAAGAGTTATTATGCTCATTAGGGGTGTGGGAAATATATATATATTGTGATATTCGGCCGCTCAATATAATATCGATCTTTCACTTCTTAGTATCGATTAAAAAAAAAAAAAATGGCTACATAAAACATTGATGGGAAAATGGGCTACCTCTGCACCACCACTCTGGCAGAAAGCGCTGTGGAGCCCTTTAACTGTGCGTGCAGCACCAAATCTGTATTTGAGGCAGTCACAGTGGAAAAAAACCCCAAACAACATGGATAATAATACCTAATCAAAATTTTCTGGTGAAAATATACAGCACTTGCTGTTTTATCTCATCATTTGATTTTGATAGCTGGGGAAAATATGGCAATATATAGTGATACTGCAATATTGTGATAATATCGTATCGTGACCCAAGTATCGCGACATGTATCGAATCGCAACACTCATGCCAATACTCACCTCTAATGCTCATGTGGTGCAATTCTGTAGTGTCGAGTAGATATGGAAGGGTGAGGCATATTTTTCTATTCCAGTTTTTTCATTCATTATCCATGAAACAAAAGGCTGATCATATTGTGAGGAAAGTAGAGGAAACTCTTTGGTTTGACTTACATTGCCGCATAGGACAGCTGCTCTTTGGTGAGATTTAGGGGGTGATTAGAGACAGAGATGCCATGATGGCGTGGGTCCTCTCCCATGGGCAGATTTCCTCTCAGAATGCCGTTGTTGGCCACACTCAGAAAGGACACAATGCCGTGCCATGCTTGATTGTAGAACCACACCTACAATAAAAGAAACAGCACTGGTGAATAGGTTACTTTAGATCTAGTGTCAACTTTATTTATATAATAAGTATACAATATATTTAATTGGGTATAAAAATGTAATGACAGAGAAAACTAATTTCTCTTGGCCACTTTTTGAAATTGAAAATAAAAGCTAATGGTATTTAAGCAAGGCAAATGTGGGTTCATTGTTTTGTATTAAACCACAGCTACTCACGTTTTCACAGCCTAAAACTGATGGAACTGTGACAAAAAACATTTGTTTGTCCCATAAAAGGTGTAGAGTATGGTAACACAAGTTAAAAAGAAGAAAAAAAAACTCTTACAATTTCACTGTTAAGAGAACTGTCTCCATAACAACCATTAAACACTCTAAATATGCAAACCTGTTGTTAGGGAGAGATGCCAGGAACAAACCTTTTCACACAGCATTATAAAGTAATTACTAGTTTGCCCAGTGTGAGGCCAAAACTAAATTTTTATAGAGCTTTAGATTTTGTTAAAAGCTGTATTTTTATTTGCCATGATGGATTATTTCCCAAGTGTATGATAAAAGATTATATAGAATAGAAATGTTCATGCTTTGGTAATACTACAGCAATTAAAGCCAAACTTAAGGGGCTTATATTTTAGAAAAGAAAATCAAAATTTTAGGAGCTTATAAGTTGGTTATAAAGATATTCCTTCATCAAAATCATTGATCACCTAATATGCAAAGTCTCAGCAACTGTTCTGCATTTTGCTAGTTTCTTTGAAGACGCAAAAAAAAAAAATAATAGCTCTCCTTTTATGACAACATGTCTCACAACTTTTTATTGGGGTGAAAGATCATACAAATCCTGCTTCCTTCACTCTTTATATACAGCTAACGTATCATTTGAAGCAAACATGTCTATAATAAGAAAAAAAAAAAACTCTTTACAGCTTCTTTGCCATCTGTTCTAAAGACTTTAACCAGGTCCACACATTACTGCTTGAGTACAACTTATAATTTAGAGTTATATGTTCCATAAAAGTGAACTTGTCAGTAGTTTTACAGACTGGCTGAACAGTTGGTTATTTTTTAGAGATATGGGGGTTTGGTGGCATTGAAGTAGAGTGAAATCATAGTCATGTTCAAGACTAATTTGAGATATGATCTTTGTGACAAGGGCATTATTCTAGTTTAAGTAGCCTAGCCATCAGAAGGGTGGCCACAAAGAAATGGACATGGAAAGGAAATATATTCAGATGTGGTGTAATGTTTGATCATCTTTATTATAAAGAGGGACACAGACATGTCTCCTTCACATCATTATACTGCCACTATTGATATGATGCAGGATGGAGATTCTGATTTAACTATCAAAACAGTTGATTCTGAGATCAGTACTTTACATCAGGTAACATTCATCCAGTCATTTTCCATTTTGACTGCCTGTGTGAATTGAATTTTAAGATTGGTTGACAGGAGATACATGCTGTTCAGTCTTCTACTGCTGTCTTTTTAAAGGTTCTCCATATTCAGTTCTGGTGTTCTGTGTAACTTCCCTAACAGGCCCTAGCTGCAGTTATCAATCTTGATTCTTTGATTTCTTTTGTCTATGCAAGTTGCATTAACTGGATCTTTTTCTGAGCATTCTCTCTAAAGCACAAAATTGGCCATGTGAATAATTACAGTTGATCAGCAGTTTTTGAAATACTCAAACCAGCCCCTTTGGAACAAACAACCATGCAGCCTTTAAAAGGGACTTCAAACCCCTTTTTCCTCATACTAATGAGCACTTGACTTTAACAGCTTCAAATTCAGTAAGTTATCTTCATCAATGCCACAAACATAAGCAGATGCTGTAATTATTGGCCTCTATGTATTGGAACAGCTATACCTAAATGTACCTTCCTATTATGGCTTGAAAAAGCAGATCAAAGAGATTAAGGGCTTTGATGAAAAAAGGCAGATACTTGGTGTAGTGGAGGATGTTCTGCTTCCGGGTGGATCATCAAAATAAAGTCCTGCGAATTTTCGATTATTCTGGTCATATGTCTTCATAAGGCCTTCCTATGTGCTCGTTCCCATTTTCACTTGTGAGTCTGATACGGTGGAAAAATTGCAAATCTTCTTTTGGAAAGTAAGTTTGCATGAGCGATGCAAACAGCAACTTTTAAACAGAAAGTGCACGAGGAGAAATGGGCTCATGCACGCTCTCGCACTCGTTTAAAGGGCCTTCCCTCTCAGGAGCGGGTACAGGGTTGTACATGTGCATTTAGTTTTAAAAGTGGACAGGGCGGGTCTTTTAAAAAAATTAGCGAAAATCCTCTACTGTACCTTATTGATGCACACTTGTCTGCACTGCAAAAACCATCTAAAATTTTGTAAAATTGTATTTAAAGTGTATTTACCCTTAATTGGAGTAGGTAAATTCAATTCAATAATACTTTGTTAAACCCAAAGGGAAATTAAGTGTTGCAGTAATTCATTAGTTATTTTTAAGCATATGTGGTAGCTGTTGATAGCTGTGGGCAGGAAGGATCTACGTATCGGTCTGTCTTGCAACGGATCTGAAAAAGCCTCTTACTGTAGACACTTTGTTGTTGTTTAAATAAGATAATCTGCCATAATTTTTTACCCTTAAAATAAGATAACTAGATATATGCACTTGAACAGACTGAAGCTTTTTTGTCTTATTTTGAAATGAAAATCTCTTATTTTATTAGTAAAATTAACTCATCTGCTCAGTTCAAGAAAAAATGCATTTACTGTATATTAAGAAAAAAGCGACTTTCTTAGATTTTTATATTTGCAGTGTGATGTGCGCTGCAGTCCACGGGTAAGCCAAATTTGTTCCAAAGAAAGAAGTTCAAATGATTTTTGAGCTTGTTGGTGGAAGCATTGACTGTCAGAAATAAGCTCTTACATTTAAAAACATAACTTTTTATAAATTGGGTATAAGGCTTCTCACATCAGCAAAATCCTGATGCGACAGAGAGCACAAGCCGTGCAGCTGAAACATTTTTAACACATTCTTTTTCATGTAAGTGATTCTCTGAGCCTTTGGTTGCTGGGGAGCTCAAAAAAAAAAAAAAGGATGAAAGAAAATGGCTGTTAGAGAAGACTCCCCGCTGGTAGTTCAGCGATAATTAAGAGTGGATGGTGTCTGAGTGGTAGCCTAACATAACGCTCCATCACAAAGGAGCATGTGGAGAAATTAGCACACACAGATACACATGTGTGTATGCAGTCTGGCTGTATCTTAAGAAAAAAATACCTGCATTATAGAAGGAGACTTTTCAAAATTAGAGAGCATGAGGCTCATAAGCTAAATACATAGTTTTTGAATAATAAGTGGAAAAATCTGAGAAGAATTTCAAGTTTTTAGAGTAATTAAAGAGTTTTAAGGCTTTCAATGAAGGAAAGAAATTGCCAGTAAGACTAGCGTTTGATGTTTGAAGAGGGGATTCAACAAAAATTTAACATTGAAAAACCAAATTAATAATGGTGAATGCTTCCCTACTTTTTTAGTTCAATTCTAAATAATTTTATGGTTAAGGATGATAAAAAAAAAAATAAAAGAGAGTGATTTTAAAACAAATTACAGTGAGGTTTGTTAATTATTTTAGAACATTTTGTATCAATTACTGTTCCTTTTATGAAATTTAATCTTTAAGAATCTAGGTGGGCCTTCTGATCAAGCAAATCATTTAATACAATTTTTTAATAAATAATGTTTTACTTTACCTTGGATTTGCATTGTGAATTAGTTTGAATATTTTCCAATTGCTCTAAATGAGTTAAAAGCTGGTTTGATAACTCTTCAAATTACATGCTGAACTATGATATCATTGCAGAAGTTTTTTAGGTTTCAGCCATTTTTCATTCCTTTTTCTTTGTGTACATAGAGTACTTGAGTTCATTTTCCCTATTTTATCAAATCTTTGAAATGACATATTTTAGCCTTTTAGATTTTGAATGGAAATTATAGTGAATTTATTTCACAAGTGTGCAGAGTGATTTGAGATTATTTCACCTTTTCCTTTGTTGTCCTTACACACAGCCAGCTGGCCAAGTCTTCACAGAATAATACATGAGATTATGAAAGTTATTTGATTATATTAAATATTTGTCGACATAACATGGGCATTATAATAATAAGTTATTGCATAGGACATCTATGTCAAAGTGGCAGAGCCCTGAACTTTCAGATCGCCGTCGCTGCTAACTTAGCTTCTTTGTTGCTCTTCCTTGCAACTTGTTTCTGCAATACGATTAGTGAACAATCCACAACTTTTTTTTGCTATTGGAGAATTTGTTGAGGAAATGTGTAAGCACCTAGCAGACAATGAGTGATGTCAGCCCCCTCCTTCCTCCAAATACTGACAGGCGGTCGGACTTGGGAACAAACCGTTTCTACAGTCAGAGAGAGAAGAGCGGTTGTCCTCTAGTTTCACATTGAAAATGAGTCAAGGCCAGGCCTCCAGGCTCCAGTGTGAGGTCCTAGCTCTTCTGTTAAGGGCAGTGTCCAGAGAGGCGCTGGCATTGCCATTAAAACCCCTGACAACACAGCTTCTGGAATCATCCAAGCACTTAAACCCCTACACCACATTAATGTGGATGTTCAAGGAGGAGCTAATCCCTTTGCATACATAAACAGTATAAATAAAGAACTTGTATACATATAAAAATGCTCATAGTTTTCACTGTTTTATGCTGACAGTGCAGAGTAGACAGCATACTTTGGATGCTGTTTGTTCTGGAGATTTGTTCTGAAGTTCTACCAATTAACGACCCAATCTCCATCAACATCTACTTTTTGTAAACATTTTCTTATGATTATTATGTCAACGTATCAATTCCTTGTACAAGTGGAACGACCTCAACAAATAAGATAATTAAACAAAAAAAAATTCTGTTTGTGCTGTACATAACTGACATTAGATTTGCCTGATTTTTATTGTAATGCTATTAAGATAATCATTTTGGTAGTTATTGAAAATGAATCATGCAGTTATAAAGCAGAATCTCTGGTCAGATGTTGGATGATTGGAAATTTATTTCAGATAATTATCTGAAATTTTAATACTTAAGGATTTATTTATAGCTGGTTATTACTGGAAGTTATACCAAATTCTGTTGCTTTAAATTCCAGGTCTTTCGAAAGGAAATACGGATAATATAAAACTGTTCAAGGATAAGTCGCAAGTCTTTTCAATCTCTAATAGTTTTTATTCAATTATAGCAATGTTTTGTGACAACTTTGGTACAATGGGAAGAGTAATTATCCTGTAGTCGATGTGGAACTATGCAAAGCAATAAGCCAGTTCCTATCTGTCTATATATGGGTGTATACTGTAAATTTGTGCAATATTAGCTGGGGGAATTTTGGCTCTAGAGTAAAGCATTTGAGTGACAAGTAGGACCGAAAAAGTGTTACAAACATTTAGCTAATTTACCTTTAATTTAGCACCAGTCACGTTGCAATTAACTTTTACCAGCATCTTTCCCCTTCCTGAAAAACTATCCTTGCAGCATAGTGCTGTGACTATTGTATTTTTGCAAGGATCCATCTGTCTTTGTCTTTCTTTCTGGCATATTTAACAGAATAAGAGTATTCAGAAGAGGGGATAATTCCAGTGAGAGAAAAGTTAGCTGTTCATAGTAGGAATCCAAGATTGTTTTCCAATCAAATCATATTCACACATTTTCAGCAACATTATAATAATTGTTCCTGCTCACATTGTTTTGTGTATCATCATTTGAGCGAATTTGCTTTATTTATTTTCCTATAAATATAACATTGCAATTTATGATGAGATAATATAATAAGTAAAATTAACATTAGGGCCTAGCTGTGTATGTGCTCTATTTCCTTTTAATCACTACCGTTTGCATAAACAAACCCCAAACTGTACTCTACTAATTTTCACCTCTGTTACCATCACACCTCCATCCTCTTTAATTTGCTGCAACAGTCATGGTGTATTAGTACGATACCTTGACATTGTCCCTGGTTCCCATCTTCTTTAGCAACATCTCGGCCCTCTGCAGGGTCTGATCAGTGACATTATCCTAATAAAGACAGAGGAGAAAACAAGAGAAAAACAATCTTGAGTTGGGGACTTAATTGGATACCCTTGGAAAGGCACCACTGCTCTTTGAAATGCAAAGTGTGAAACAGAGGCAGACAAGAATTAAGACTTCTGCAGAGCATTAGGGAGGAATGTGCCACTTATTTAACTGAGACTTCATTGGAAATAAAATATGCCAACCATTTCTGACTGTTATCTTCTTTTTAAAATTTTTGACATTATATTTGTCAAAGTGAAATAATTCAAATGTGTTGGAACACAGTTTCCGGTAAATGTAGCACATACATTGAACCTTTTTATCACAAACATTTTCTATTTACTACCACAAATCTGAATGCATTTAATTGAGATTTAACACAATCGTTAAAGACGTTCTAAAGTAAAAAGGTAAAGTAGTTGTTCATTTAAAAAGTGTGAAGTGCATTTCGTGCTCAGCCCCTTTTTATATAATCGATCTATTTCTCTAATGTAACCGATTACACCGAAAAGTCAGTTTAATTAGAACAATCAATGCTGGGTGTGTAGAACATTCTCTGCATAAATCCAGATAAGAACATTATGGAGATAACCCCTGGAATTTGTGAGATAACACTGAGAAAGAAAAATGAAACTCCAGCAGAACAATATCAGACGTGTGGTCAGGAATTAAGAAGATTACAGGCTGTACGCAGAAGGAGTATACGACAGAAGAAAGTATGGAAGGAGCCAATGAAATGAAGACATTGTTCAACAGGTTAGGTTCAGGAAGCAGCTCAATCTCCTTCTCTCCTGCCCACAGCCAACTGGACAGTCTAGCCTTGTTTGACCTGAAGCTTCTCTGTCACACCTCAAATGTATCATCCACCAGCTCTTCCATGGACCCTCCTGCTTCTATGAGTTTGTTCTCAGCCAAATAAGAAGGTGGTTCCACTCCCTCTGCTTTTCACCTGACTGTTAAGTGAAGTGAAGAGGCAACTAAGGATATCGAGTCACAATAGGTCCCCGAGTCCAGATGGTTTTAGTCCCAGAGCCTGTGGGATTCTACAGCACCTCCCCAACCTTAGCCTGAGCCAGCAGACAGTTCCAGTGATGTGGAAGACCTCCTGCCTTTTTGCATTGCCAAACATAACTCAGTTATTAATTATTTCATAGACACCTTAAAAATTACCTCAATAATATCTACAAGGCTTCAACATAAACAGTAATAACTTGCATCCCTAGCAGCCCTACCAGAAAGGAAATAAAGACACCCAGATTTTAGGTGGCACATTTTGTCTCAAGAAGAACTAATATATGGAATGCAAATTAAGCCTTTTTACCATGCATGACATAAATGGGTTTATATTTGCTGAAATTGAACATATAACACATACTTTTGTTAAGTTGCTATTTTAGAAGCCTTGCTGCTCATCAATATAATAAAATTCAGTTGTATTCTGGTAACACTTAACAAGAAGTAAAATTATTTAGATAAAGCCATACTGATGAGTTGGAATGTCCCCGTTAAACCCTGCATATAAATTTCATATTAATAAGAAGATTAAGAAAGAAACAAAAAAGTGAATTTTAAGGGAGCTCCATATTTTGCAGTCTTTTGATTCTGTGTGCACATCTTCTAGAATGCCTGGCAGCTGTACTTGCAGCAAAAATTGCTTCTGCAAAGTACTTACCAGAGGCGGATGAAAACAAATACTAAACACAGTTTTTAGATATTTCTGTCTAGGATTTTTTATTTTCTTTTTTGCACGATTTAATACTGGTAGATTAATTTGTGTCTTTAATTGTAAATGTGTGTGTATGATTGTATTTTAATTCCTTTCGATAGAGTGGTAACCCATCCAAGGTTTACCCAGCTTTTTGTCCATAGATGAATAGAATCATTATTCTTTTAGATTTGTTTGCTTTAACCATGTAATTAAAACCCCAAACCCTCCAAAAACAAAAAAAAAAACATCAATGGAAAATTAACTTCAACAATTACTTTCATAATGCAAATACAGCTGTCAATTTACTTGACATAATCAATTATCCAAAAAAATAAATAAATAAATAAACGAAAAGAAACATATTGCAAAGTGATGAAGATACGCAAATGTTGAAAAGACTTGACAGGTTGCATTAAAAGCAGCTCCTCTCCACTTGCGCATTATGTGAAATGAGCCTTGAGATGAGGGCTTGAGATGACGGGCTTCCGATTTTCTGAAGTGGCATGCTGACACCACACTGTTGAGCTCAGCCGCGAGAGTGCTGAGGACATTACATGTGTGATATAAATGCAAATGGACCTCCTGTTGGACTCTGCCTTCATCAGAAGCGGACGAGAGGAGCAAGAAAAAAAAGAAAAAGGTTGTGAGTCTGAGGAAGAGTATGCAGCATCAGAGAGCTCTGAGGAGGCAAAGTGTCTGTGACAACTGGTGAGGAAGGTGGGAGGTGCAAAAAAATAAGAGGAGAGAAATCAAGAAAGACATCCCGAGAATGCAGGAGTGTGCTCAGGTGCAAATTCCTGTCTTCACTGACACGACGGGAATGGAAAGGAGAGCAACGGACAACAAAGAGACACCTCCAGTCTCTGAGACATTTACAAGGGGCTTATTTTTCTCCATTCTGCAATCGTTCAGTCACAAAAGCCAACAACACATGGTGGCATTCTCAGAAGTGGGATACTTTGTCTGTTCAGGGCAATTCTAGTCCTTTTTTTTTTAGCCATTCTTCTTGCATTGCTTGAAAAAAAATGTTTACACATCATTTTAGTAAGGCTGTATGAACTTATTTCTTCTGTATCACTGCGTTAGAAAGGAATGAGGGAAGAGCTCTAAAATCTCTGCAGACAGAAATATTTGTTGAATAACATTCTCTCTGTTCCAAGTCTATTCATGCACAGGGCCGAGAACAAGACTCCTACGCTTGTCTGTGATATATCCCACTGTAAAAACCCAAGGAAATCTTCTTTTTGTGTCTTTTTCGCATTTTCACTTCACTCCAGCACGAGCCTTGCCAAGCAGGGAATGAAGAAACCTTCAGTTGGGAGAATTCCCGAGGATTAACTGCAAATGAAACAAGATGAAAAGTGGGCCAGTAACTGTCTAATCCTAATCTTTGACAAACTCCTTCCTGCTCAACGACAATGACTGGGCTGTTACCACCCGAAGACCTCCGTCAGTACCAGGGCTCACCTACAACACACCACACCACTGAAGTGTACAGTCATTTTGGCCCAATCATCCACTTGGCAATTTCGTTGTGTGTTTAAATGGTTCCTTCATTCTTTACGTGGTACTTTCATTTTAAACTACAACCATATACTTTACTTAAAATCTATTATGTGAAATGGTAATAGTTCTAATAGTGTATTTATTATCCTCTCTAATATGCCTACAAAGTATCCAAATTAACGTTCTTCAACTGCAGTCATACAGATGTATTGTCCTGGATTACAAGACCTCTACAATTTCATAGATTTATATTACATTTATTTATATTACCTGATAAAACAGGATCTCTATACGGTGGTATAACTCCTTGCCTTCAGTGTGAGATACTCTGGAGTAAGTCCTAATTACTTCGTAAAAGTAATTTAAAGTTAAAAACTTCATGAAAAACAGGTGTGATTTTTCCCTTTTGTGTTAAAAAATTTTTTTCATCCTGGCAGCATATCTTATCAATAAAACTGGGGAGTTCTGTATTGAAAAATGAAAAACAGTAGTTTAACTCTTCCTAATTCATGTTACTTATAAAATTGAAGAATCCCTCCATCATGTAGTCCATTTTATGTGGCTTTCAGAGATGGGAAGTAACGAAGTACAAATACTTTGTTACTGTACTCAAGTAGATTTTTCTGATATTTTTACTTTACTACTTATTGTTATGGCGACTTTTTACTTCTACTCCTTACATTTTTACACAAATATCTGTACTTTCTACTCCTTACATTTTTAAAAATTGGCTCGTTACTTTAGTTTTGAATCATTTCAATGGAGTTACCGTTATTATTTTTCATGTCATCAATACCAAATTCAATCTAATTGGATGGGAATCTACGTTGCATTTGACGCACCACTACAAGATGAATCGACAGATTCAGCAGTATTCATTCGCGGCAAATCATTGCAGCTTGGTGGCGGTGGCGTTAGCATAGTAGTATGGACGACGAGATGATTGAAAATGAACACAACGGGGATCTAGTCCTAATGGCAGACATCCCTTTAAAATGTTGGCAACGGCATGAAAAAAGTGGTTTCTACTTTTACTTCTATACTTTAAGTAAATTTACAAGCCTGTACTTTGTTACTTTTACTTGAGTAAAGAAGTTTAATCAGTACTTCCACTTTTACCAGAGTATTTTTTAACACAAGTATCTGTACTTTTCTCTGGTGGCCGGTTATGAGGATGTTTTCATTCTGATGGAAAGTACACACTTCTGATGGTGCAGCAAATATGCGATTATTTTTCAGCATCTCCTACTGCATAGGAACATACCTTTAGCAGAAAATTGCAGCCAGACATAGATATGTGCAACATTAAAGGTATGTTTATGTTCTGTGCAGTGCTGACAACTATGCGCTACTACAAAATACTTGAACTGGCATGAGACAATGAAATGAAAAAATAAAAAATTCAATAAAATTACAATATATGAGTAAAACCTGGAAAGATAAAAGGTGGAAGATGATCTAAGCATTTTTTGTGGTATCCACTTTGTCTACATTGAATTTCTAAGCATTGAATAGGCCGTCAAGTCTTTAAAAGACAAAAACACCTTGCTATCCACTAAATCTATTATTCTGATTTCCAGTTAACAAGATACAGTGAATACTTGAGTATAAATTGGGTAAATTGACAGGAGAGAATATAAGATTGTTCAACAAAATGATTTAGTGAGGAAAATGACCTTCAGTTAAATACAGAAGCATTTTAGGAAACAGTCACAGTCTAACATTATCTAACTATTGTGTGCCTTTTTTTCTGCCTAATTAGGTAATTTTCAGCACTTAGGCTTTCTGCCTCTTACTATTCCAAATACATCCTGCTGTACATAACTCAATTTCTACCTGCTGGAAACAGAAAATGCAATTACACCAAAATTTCAATGCTCATATCCCAGTTGGAACTGATGGCTCAGAGTGGAAGGAACCAGTGCTGCTTCCAGTTACTGTTTCACATCATATAACAACTGAGCAGTTCCAGCAGCAGACGAGAAAGCCAGGCATTTCCCGAGGAAAATGTAGGATTATAATAGCAGGGGCAGCTTTTCTATGAGAGCTAATGCCCGGCCATTAAGGGTTACATCATTTCTGCAGCTGAAATTAAAGTCACTTTAGCACCGGAATACCAGAGACGCAGGGGGGAAAACATGGGCAATGATGATGCTGAGCTGCCTGGAGCCAGAGCAACCTGCTGATCATAGAGTTGTTAGAATGTCCACGATTTCAGATGGTAATGAGTGTGTTTGCTATAGATAGAGTGGAAGACGAAAGAAAAGACAGAAGGATGGGCTTGGCATGGGGTTGCTGATAGATTGTACCCAAGGCCATAAATGATTTAACTCACATACAAAATTATTCACATGAACAAAACTGACAGAGTTTAAGACTATTAATACAAGCAATTAAAACATTTGGATGTAAAATACCTTAAAGCTTCGATCATGGCAGTATTTTATTGTTGGGCTTCCTGAATTCCTGATTGATTTAAAATGTTACACAGGTATGGTCAGTTTCCATGGACACTCAAAAATGGATCTGAGAGATATAAACCTTTTCCCTAATTTGTTTTTTTTCTTATTGTCCTTTAATTAAGTCAATTCAAAAGACAACAAAAAAGCAGAGTCAGAGCCCCTCAGAGGCAAATAATAAAAAAAGGAAAGCTATCTGTAGAATAAATTAAGAGCTGCATGTTGATCAGTGCTGAGATCTCATTGCTTGTGGGACGTTTTTGAAGATTAAGTTCTTTTTTAAAATTGACATAAATTTTTCTTTTTCATCTATTGCTTAAAATTGCTAAGTCACCAATTATGCCTGCAGCATGAACACCAAAAGTCCCCTTCATGCTAAACATAAGCAATATAAGCCATGTGTTTGTCCTGATAGGCTTGTCCTTTTTGAGCCTGAAATGGATTTTTGCAACCGGCACAATCATCAGACCTAAACACTGTTATGCGCTTTCACCGTTAATGTGCTACTTGTGTTTTAACCATCAATCAACATTTTTTGCTGTTTTTATTCTCTTTTCTTTTCATCTATATACTTGCTGTTAAGTCTTAAATTAAAACAATAACACAACTGCAAGATAAAATACTGAATAAAAAACAACATAAAGTTTAAGCCATGTCTTCTGGATAATTAGTATTGATTATTTAAGACCTGTTTTAATAAATTATACACTGAATGACTTCCAAAAAAATAAAATATAAACAAATTTGGAATTAATGTAAAACAATGCTCAGAACTATTTCTCATTTCTTGTTTTTTGTCTTTGTTTCTAAATAAAGAAGATATTTTGACAAAATCCTGTTGGTAATCATGGGACATTAGTACTTGCATCTTGAAAATAAAGTATCAGTAAAGTGGCGAAACATCAAAATTTACAAAAATACAACAAAGCAGTTTCTCAGAGGCGTATCTTAGGGGTGGACATGTCTAAATACATGCATATAATACAAGTAAAAAAAAAAGGTCAGGATTGAAGTAAAACTGTGGAATTGTTGCTGTCTGGCATATTGTTTCAAACATAGGTGGCATAAATGCACAGAACCCAACACTATAGACAGTTTGGCACGATCAGTGCAAACATTTATGACATACCTGAGTTGAGTTAAACAGGCCTTTTAAGTCCCTGAAGACGTCCTCAATTTCTGCTTCCGTTAGACGCACTTGGGAATTGACTGCTCCCACAGAAATTCCTCCATACCTAAAATTGCAGAAACAAAACAATGAAATTCCTTGTATATTTTTGACAGTTATATTTTAAAAAATTAACAGAAACTTGTCAATAGAGTGGACGAAGCTGCTCAGACAGACTATTTCTTAATATGAAAGCTTCGTCTTACTATATACATATCTTTAAATAAATCTTAAAGGTCATTCATTAAACCCTCTTTTTATACGATCATGAGAGAGTGCAGAAAATGAACATGGAATACAGAGTAGCTAGTGGAAATGCAGACAGCTCTAGAGTAATGATTAAACAGATGTCAAAGTAATTCCTTTCAATTCCATCACTGACAGTTGGCTGAAACTGTTTCCATACAGCAGAGTGACAGGTTAAGGAAAGCAAATCAAAGAGTGGCCCACGAGGATTTGTCAAAACATTTCAACTGCAGGATCCATGGAGGAGGCAAACGACAGGAAAGCAGGCAGGAATTTGGCCATGTTTGTGAAAAAGTATTTTAAAAAATGTGGTGATTCCAAAATATAAAATAATAATTGAATTACCTTTTTCTTCCAGAGTCCTCATAAGTCTTGACTAGGAAGTCTGACATGTTCCGTCCAGTTAAATCCAGCAACGTGTCTGTCGTGTTCTGTACTCTCTGTTCAAAACAAAAATAATCCATTAAAAACTGTTAAAGAAGGTTCTTTACTTTTAAAGTGGAACCAAAAAGGCAGAGCAAGCTAGAATAAAATCCATTTTTAGGTACCGGTAGTCTAGTTTTAATTGAATTTGAATTTCTGGAAAACAACTGTAAACATCAGTTTTTGACTTTTTTCTGCTCACGCATTTTCAAAATTACCTTTAGTTATAAGGGAGCATAACGATGTACAGTAACTTTTCATTTGTTTTACTTGTAATCAGGCAGGAGGGGAAACAGATTTGTTTTTTCAGCATTTTTTATTTGTGTTAAACATAGCAACTTCAGCTGCTAGCTGGCTAAGTGAGATCCAATGACTATAAATTCACTGAAGAGTTTGGTCTTATGCAGGCTTTTTAGACTGGTCAGGTCATTCATTTCTAAAAGATATTATGTTGTTTCAGTCAGAAGTTAAACACATTCATGGCTTTATTTATTGACATAAACAGGTTCTCTTCCAGGATGGAATAATCAGTACTCGAGTTGAGGCGGGGATGAGGGGAGAATGCATCCCCCCTCATCTTGAAAATCCTCCTCCTTCGAAAATGACCATCCCCCATATCATCCCCCCGTGACATTTTATTACTGGATGTGCAAAATTTCTACTATATATATATATAGACAGTAATGGCAATAATATTGCCCTTTCAACATATAGCGGCCTGAATAGCCTGAGCAAAATAACTAAAATCAAAGAAGAGGCCTACCAGGACTATGAAGCTGATCCCAGTGGGACATTTGTACTTGCATTTGTCCCTAACTATGTAGGGCTGTCCCTCAGTTTTTTTAAGGTGTTTCAACACCTATCTAGGACTCTTTGTCAATTGTTAGCTTGCACCAGAGTAATCAGTAGTTGGAGCGCTGATGTAGTTTAATCTCTCATTCTGAGGTTATATCAAAACCATTGCTTCCTTCGATGTAACCTCTCTCCACGTTAAAGGCAGTAAACACAGTCAGGACACAATTGGAACATGATGAAACCCTGAAGGACAGAACCACTTTAACACCTAACTGATACTGGATAGGTGTTGAAACCAAAAAAACTAAGCGAAAGTCCGATTGCCTTCCAATTTAAGGCTGTTTGTGGTTGCCATGACCTTGATGACATAATTTACACAGACATGTTATGACACAAAAATGAAAGGATATCTGACGGTAAGAAGCAAAAGCACAGGTTTATGTGAGCTAACAAAATAGGGTCAAAATCTTACATATAGTGGCTGATTTGAGGTTAATTTTATGTTTGTATCTGCATCATTGCCACTAGCCTGCCAAAAGGCCCGAAGTATGATACTACAGCATCATACTCAACATGCAACATGAACAGCATTGTTTTAAAATGGATCTTAATTCCAAAAACGTTTACTTGTCAATTTGGCCAAAAAGCTCAACATTTGTTTCACTTCAATAAAATTTTCTAGGGCTGTAAGAATTAATCAGATTAATTGTGATTAGTCAATTATTTAAATATTTGCCGACTAATTTATTAAACGATTACTCGTTAAATGGATTATAGAGACTCTAAAGCATGCCTTTAGCTGAAAGAGTAACTCATTTAGAGAAGTAATTATACCAAAATTGTGAATTTTTGAAAAGAAGCGCCTCCTCCACTTAAAAAAAACAAAAAACAAAAAAAAAGGATATGCACAACCCTGAACCCGCTCCTGAGAGGGAACTCCTATTAAACGCATACGTGAGCGTGCAAAAGCCCATTTCTACTCGTGCATGCTCTGTTTAAAAGTCGCTGTTTGCACCACTCATACAAGCTTACTTTCCAAAAGAAGATTTTTCCACTACTCACCACGGGTAAGTGAAAATGGGGACGAGCATGTAGGATGGCTTTATGTAAACGTATCACCAGAATGATTGACAATTAAGAGGATCACTTTTTGTGATGAGCCACCCCAAAAAAGACCTTTAATATAAAAAAAAAACGATTTTGTCTGTCAGCATGCTCCATACACAACTCCTCAAGTGAACAAGTTTCACCTTGTTTACTTTTGTAAAAAGTATTTTTTTTTAATTAGGCAAAAAAAATGATCAACAGATTAATTGATTTCCAAAATAATCATTTGTTTCAGCTCTAAACATTTCTATGCAGGAAGCCCCAGATTTCGGGTATTTAAATGTTATAACATAAGATTCTTTATTTTGTCAATACAAAAGAAATTGGAAAACAAAATGACTCCGGTGTTCTACAAGTTTATGATCAACGTTTGCACATATTCTCGTGACCTCTGACCTGATCGACGATGCATCGTATAAAAGATAATGCTAAGCTGCCTCCATATCTTTTATGTTTTATTCGGAATAAAAATAAGTCACCTTTAGGTTCCCTGCTACATCTTGTGAAAGCCAAACACATCTGTGCTGAAATGAATCCTTTTTTACGCATTAACTCACCCAGATGATGCAAAATCAACAACAGTTAAAAGCAAGAATACTTAACAGGTGGCATGTGTTTACACTGCTGGGAAACATACTCTCACCCCTTATCATAATAGTCAATTAAGCTTGACTATGGGAAGCCCGGCTAAAATTGAGACCCCCGCCAAAACTCAGAAAGCTGTGTCTAATGTCAAAGGACCTTAATTAGATACCCCTCTGTGGATGAACAGGCACATTCAAACATCCAATTAGGAAGGGGTGCGACACTGTGCTATGAATAAACTGTACCTTGTGCAGACTGATCCTCAGTAGATGCACACCAGCTCCCCAGCTGCAGTTGCAAAGCTTATTCAGAGAGGTAACACTAATTACTAAGCAGAGATATCCTTTAAAAAGTGAAGTTTGGACCCCCAACTGTGATGCAATTTACCAACATGCCCCCCCGTTATAAACGGGTTGATCAGTGAGCTATACGTAAAAACAGCATGTTGTTTAATCGGTTACCGCTGTGCCAATTAGCCTTGAATGTATTCTCATATTTCTTACTTAGCATATAGAGCTCCATTATAGATTAGACTAGGTTGCTACATTACAATTAAAAAGAGTTAATACTCCTTGAACTTCACATCTTGTCACAATACAACCATAAAACGTCTGTGCATTTAAGATATTACTGGAACGAAAACTATTTAAGAAGCATTTAAGAACTACGGGAACGGGAAAGAATGACAACCTTGAACTTATATGAAATATTCTTTTTTTTTTTATAGATACTGTGTTTTGGAGATCATTAAAAAAAGAAAAAAATGTATATCCTAGAAGCTTTTATATCACAATTGCTAACTGCAAATAATTCTGTTTAACATATGCATCTTTCCTTTAAGGTAGAACTAAGAAAACTTTTAAAATGAATGCATTTCTGTGTTGCTGTTTTTTTGGATTAGGCTGCTGTTTCTTCTCAATATATCTTAACTAGTTTTATTTTGGAACTGCCTCTTCTTTAAAAAGAAAATAAACAATTCAGTTAGAAAATAAAGAATCTTTTCTTAATGTCTGTCAAATACAAAATAGCAAATATTTCCACTTAATTCAACCAGTAAAAAATCACATAAAATCACATTGTGATGAGTTATGTGTTATAGTTAATAATGACTTGGAGAGGAAAAAAGCACTAACTAAAAAAAAAAAAAACAGCTTTAAAGAGGAAGTTAAAGTACGATGGCTGACATGTGCAAACCACTGATCTCTATTTATTCACTTAATTGCTGATAGACCAAAAAAGACTTAAAGGAATAGTACACCCAAAACATGATTAGCCTTCATTTTCTACTCACCCCCATGCTGAACAAAACTCTGGAGTACTTTTTTGATATCTCAAATGCATCTGGAGATCTGGGAGGCTTCTTGCTGTCTGCTGACATTCAAATAATGGAGGTCTATGGCGCCCGAGGCAGAAAGGTCCATAAAAGTCCATAAAAACGTGTCAATATTCCTCCATACTGCTCGTCCAATGTATTCCAAGTGTCCTGAGTGGGTAGCGTCCATAATTTACTCGAAACGAAGTCATTTAGAACGTTTTAGAGCCTAAACAGTAGTGTATAGGATTTCCTAATAGCGCCCCCATGCGCGCTCACGACGCTACGGAAGCCGGCAGACCAAACCGGAAGGAAGTGCGCATTCAGCGTCTGCTCTGCCGATAATGCAAGCGTAGAAGAAGAAATGTGCTGTTTACCTGTGCAAAGAAAGAAACAACGAAAGAAAAATGTCTGAGGACTTCAGTGTTGAGGAAGAGCATGAGTTCTTTGCCGAGCTGAATGCGCTGGTTTGGTCTGCCGGCTTCCGTAGCGTCGTGAGCGCGCATGGGGGCGCTATTAGGAAATCCTATACACTACTGTTTAGGCTCTAAAACGTTCTAAATGACTTCGTTTCGAGTAAATTATGGACGCTACCCACTCAGGACACTTGGATTACATTGGACGAGCAGTATGGAGGAATATTGACACGTTTTTATGGACTTTTATGGACCTTTCTGTCTCGGGCGCCATAGACCTTCATTATTTGAATGTCAGCAGACAGCAAGAAGCCTCCCAGATCTCCAGATGCATTTGAGATATCAAAAAAGTACTCCAGAGTTTTGTTCAGCATGGGGGTGAGTAGAAAATGAAGGCTAATCATGTTTTGGGTGTACTATTCCTTTAAGTCATTTGCCGCCATCTTGGTACTTCCCACTTTCACACAGTTGCGCTAAAAAAATGCCTGTAATACAATTTCCATAACATAATCAATACATGTATATTACATACGTAATTTAGTACTTTTGGCACATCATCAGAAAATGTGAATGCCTAATATTCTTAATATCTGACTTAAGTATTATTATGCTCCATTAAAACACTCATTTTGTTGTGGTGAATTTAAAATATGTTATATCCATTAACTTCATGCTGAATATGACATTTTAATGTGCTTATTTTTTTTACCATAAATTACAGGAATCTACTGATGCTACAGTATGAAAAAGCAAGTATGTGTCATATCCGGCATTAAAGATTTAATTCATTTTGTTCAGA